CTCGCTGCTCATAAGAAGAGCTAACATTTATCAGTTACCTGGTGCATGCCCCTGTTCAAAGTGCTCTGCACGGGTCAGGAGCAAGTGGGTCGCTCGGAGGTGGGGCTGAGAGAACGGGCAGAACCTCTGTAGACCAAGTGAAGCAGCATTCCTGCACATCTGCCGAAGCTCGCCCTGACTCAGTCTTCCCTCCCCATTCCGATAGCGCCTATTCCCAGTCTTTTCTCCCTAGTGTGGCTACAGCTCCTCTAGGGTATTGCTGGGTCGGTTCACCATGCTTTCAAAGTTCAATAACTGTTTCTGTTCATCAAGGAACTCGAGTGCGCCAGGTTGATATGTTGTAAAAGCTGGGGGGACATCGACATTGTTTAGACACGGAACTAAGCTTCTGACTGGAGACAAGACCCGTCATCAGCTTATTTCGATGCAGTGTGATGAGTGTCACCACTGGGATTCTCGCAGGTGCCAAAGGAGCCCGGCGTCCTGAGAACATATTTCAGAACTGAGTAGTAGGAAAAAAGGGGGGAGGGTGCAAGGGATTGGCATTCCAGGGAGTGGGAACAGCATGATCACAGGCAGGGAAATGAGGAGTTGGGTGCATGTGGGAACCACTACGGTGTAGCCTGAAGCGCATGCTGGGACGTGGCCCTCCATCTCACTCAGAACAAAGTCCAAACTCCTCAGCTCTGCCTGTGATATCTTTCATGCTCTGGTCCCGGTCTTGTTTCCCACCACCTCCCCCACCCCCCCTCTAGTCTCCCCCCATACCGAATTACCTGCAGTGGCCGGCACAGTGCCTGACACATGGGAGGCATTCAGCACGCGTTTGCTGAGTGAAAAAATGAGTGGCAGAAGAAAAGTATGGAAGACAGGCAGGGATGAGCTATGGAGCACTGTGCTTGGAGTCTTCAGACTGAGATATGCATACCAGGAAAAGGCTCCACCGTCCAGAGGACTCAAACAGTGTATTCATCAGAGAATTCAGCTTCTGGATCTCCAATATTCAGGCTTCTGCTAGAGTGGACTTTGTGGCCTCAGATTCTCTTCAACTGGCTTGTGGCTCTTTGCGGGCAGAGACCGTGTCCTGCGTTTCATCCAGTGCTGGGCATTAGTATGTGCTGAATTAAATCTGCTTGCAGGAAGAGCTGGAATTGCCTGTTTGCATCTCCACAGAAAGAGAAAGCATGGGACTTGATCTAGGGCCACCTGTCAGGCCATGAGCATAACCACAGAAGTTGAATTCAGGAGCTAGTCTCCCCTCCCGCTGGTGCAGATATCAGGGTGGGTCACAGGAAAGGAAAAGGGGGTGGATCCCCTGCAGCTGGCCACACCAGAGAGATCCCACCTTCTCCCCAGCCAGTGGTGCACGTCTCTTGGGCAGTGAAAGGTACAACGGGTCCCGTGAAGTGCTCAGGCAGCTGGGCACTGTCCTCTCTTTGCCAAACTGAGCCAGATCGAGAGTGGGGAGACCACGGCAGGAGGAGGGAGGTGATGTTTGCTTTGATTTTTGTTTTTTTCTCTTGCAAGTTTCACTGCAGAGAAGCAAACTATTTCACTTCCCTGAGGTTGACTTCCCCCTAGATTATGAGATGCGTGTGGAAAGCCCTCAGAACGCCAACAGCAAGACGCAGAGGCGCAGAGCAGTTCCATTACTTGTCAATCACGTGGCATTTACTGAGCGTTTACTATATTCTGGGTGTGTCTTCAGTGCTATGAGGCACGACACATGACCTATGAACACAGGTGTGAGCCACAAGATCAATGTGCCTGAAAGCAAACAGCGAACAGCTCCAAATGAAGGACTTACTAGAAATAATTTCTTCACGGAAGCGGTACAGTAGAGGAGCCAAGAGCACCTCTTTGGTGTTAGACAAATCTGAACTTGGTGTGAATCTGAACTCGACCACATATTGTGCGATTGTGAGTTGGCTGCTTCACCTGAGCCTTGGTTTTCTCATCTTCAAAACAGAGATGATGTCCTCTATCTAGTTTGTGGTGTGAGGACTCAGTGAGACAACAGACGCAGAGCTGGATGGTTGGGAGTGCAGGCCCTAGAATTAGCAGTCTAGGCTCACACCTTGACTCCGTCACTTCATAGCTGTGGTCTTGGGCAAGATACTTAACCTTGGTTTTGTTTTCCCATTCTTAAAATGAGGATAACAGTACTTATGCTATTAGGTTGGCCTGAGGCTTACATGAGCTTTATCTCATGCAAAGCTCTCAGAATAATCTTGGACCATAGTAAGAGCTCAGTAAACCTTAGATGCTTATGACTTCACACAGCCTCCTGCCTGGCTCGATGAATCCAAGTTGCTGTTTTTTGGGAGGTTTTTTTTGAGTTGGAGTCTCACTCAGTCACCCAGACTGGAGTGCAGTGGCCACTCCCGGCCACCGCAGCCTCGACCTGCTGGGCTCCGGCGATCCTTCGGCCTCAGCCTTCCAAGGAGCTGGAACTACAGGCGCACGCTACCACGCCCGGCTGATTTTTGACTTATTGTAGAGATGAGGTCTCGCCAAGTTGCCCAGGTGGGTCTCGAACCCGCGGGCCCAGGCAATTTACTCACCTCGGCCTCTCAAAGTGTGGGATTACAGGCTGAGCCACCGAGCCTGGCTCAAGTTGCTGTTATCATTATCAGAGAAGATGTGGATCAATCAGTGTTACCAGGAAGAGCTCAGGAAAAAGAGACCCAGAAGGGAGATAGAAATCAGACGAGCAGGACGAGGACGCATCTGCCGGGGACTAAATGAAGCAAAAGCTCTGGAAATTAGGCCCGCAAGTCTGGCCTGACCAGCAGATAAGCCAGGGATAAGTTGGGTGGCTGGGTCTTACTTAAAAGTAACTCCTAATTTTTTTAAACACTCGGTTTCTATAACATGGTGCCAATAGCAATAGCAAGCAATAGCTACCCCTTCCTGGACACTCACATTGTGCTAATGGCTTCCTGGTTTTTGTCTCCTTTAATTCTCAAAGTAATTCTAATTCCCTGCGAAGAGTAACCGTTTTTTCTCATTCTCACAATTTTTTTTTTCAGTGAGAAATTCAGCTTAGAGCTAAATACTTGTTCAAGATCTTCCTGTTGGTAAGAGACAGGACTAAGATTTGAACCTAGGTTTGCTGAACCCATTCTGGAACTCTCCAAAGCAAGAACAGCCGCCGACAAAGATGCTGCTACAGAGCTCATCCCCTGCTAGGGGAATCCTTCTGAAAGTTCTCAGGTCCCTGTGTACGTGAAACAGAAGAGACACTACCAGCCGCCTCTTTTTTTTTTCCTTGAGTTGAAGTCTCACTCTGACGCCCAGGTAGGAGGGCAGTGGCATGCTCACGGCCACCGCAGCCTTGACCCGTTGGCTCAGGTGATCCTTCTAGCTCAGTCTTCCAAGTAGCTGGAACTACAGGCACATGCCACCACTCCCAGCTAGTTTTTTTCATTTATTGTAGAGATGAGGTCTCGCCAAGTTGCCTGGGTGGGTCTCCAACCCGTGGACTCAGGTAATCCTCTCACCTCGGCCTCCTGAAGTCCTGGGATTATAGGCGTGAGCCACCGCACCGGGCCTCTTTTTTTTATTTTTATTTTTGAGTCAGAGTCTCCCTCTGTCACCCAGGCTGGAGTGCAGTGGCATGCTCATGGTCACTGTAGCCTTGAACCGCCGGGATAAGGCAGTCCTTCCACCTAAGCCTTCCAAGTAGCTGGAACGATAGGAGTGTGCCATCACACGCGTTTTTTTGTTGTTTTTTTCCTGTAGAGATGAGGTCTCGCCATGTTGGTCTCGAACCCCTGGGCTCAGGCAATCCTCTTACCTCTGCCTCCCAAAGTGCTGGGATGACAGGCAAGAGCCATGGCGCCGGGCCATCAGCTGCCCTTTATAATGGAGAATTGGGCTCCCAGGTCCACCCCCACTTAGTTGAGACCAGTGTCTGCCCCAGTGAGCCAGGTCCTGAAGAAGAATCACACTGTACACCTATTTTGCTCATAAACGACGTTTATTTTTGTTCTCAGTATGTGCCCTTGAAGATTCCAAAATGCTGGAGTTTCTGATTATCCTGGGACCAAAGGCAAAGACTTGTATGGAAACACCCAACCCTGGCCCACCACTCTCTCCTCGGGAGCTGCGTCTGAAGGCCCCAGAGAGAGGGAGCTGCTACTCACCCCTATTCCCAGATGGGTAACACGGCGAACAAAGAATTAGTAGAACACAGACTCAGTCCACCGAGGGCTTCAAATACACATATTCTATATATATAAACCTGTTATATAGGATTTCAACGCATTGGTTTCCTTGTGACTTGTAATTAAAGTACAGATGATAAAGACGTTACACACTGATTTCCCCTTCTCAGCCCCCCTCCCTCCCCAACATAAATAACGTCACAAATAGTGTCTGTTGTTGTGGATGTTTTGTTTTTAAAATCATTTTCCCCTCCTCCCCTGCGAACTACCTCTGAGACTTCGTGACATAGCAGCATGGAACGGATAAGACTGGGGCAGCACGCAGGTCGAAGGGCGGCGCGCAGGACACTGCTTCTCGCTGACGGGCATCGGGGGAGCTTTGCGCTTCCACGGACGACAGGGGCTACGACAGGAAGCAGAGAGGGTGCAACGCGGTTCGGCCTCCTCTGGAGAAGAGGCTGGCTGGACCACGGAGAGCGCCTACGGGCATCGAGGTTTGGGAGACAGAGCAGAGCTCCGGAAATGTCTTGGCTCAGTATTTACACGATAGCGTCAAGCTGCGTTTTCCTTTTACGGAATCTGTGACTCTGAAGCTGCCTCTTCCGAGGTCGGTTGGGGGAAAGACAACGTAAAAACAAAAGCAAACCAATTCCCGCGCATGTAAAAGTCCTGTGATGAGTCTCACTCAGTTATTTTCACACACATCATCAAAAGCAGAAACTGACAATGATTGGTTTCTCTTCTTGTTCTTTGTAAAGAGCAGGAGGGGAGAGAGAGAGGGAGAGAGAGAGAGGGAGAGAGAGAGAGAGAGAGAGAGAGAGAGAGAGAGAGAGAGAGAGAGAGAGAGAGAGAGAGACAGGAGACCTGCACTAGGGCGAGCGTCGCCCCTTCTTCAGCATCAGGTGACACTGGATGGTCTGGATCCGGTTCTTGGCTGGGATGAACTCGGGCTGCAGCTTGAGTGTCGACTCATACCACACGAGCGCCTTCTCAAATTCCTCCTGCGAGAGCAGAGAGGCACATGTGAAAGGGAAGTACCATCAGATGACACACATTCTGTGCCCTCTCTCTTCTCGAAAAAGCACCTCTGTGCTAGCGGCCATCCTGCAGTGTTCTCTCAATGGATCAAAGTCTGGAAAATTCGGAGGCTCCTCTGGGAGGACACGACGGCCTCTATCCCCAAGGTACAACATCCGGGGAAGACAAAGGCAGAGCCAAGGCCAGGGGAAAGGCGTGGGCCCACTCTTACGAGCCCTGCACAGTATCGGAAACGTGCCAGGCACTGTATTAGGCACTTTAGGAAATCCTTCCATTTAATCCTCGTGGAAACCTCTAGAACCAGGCCTGGCAAATGCTCGCTGTATCTCTGCCTACATTTTCCACTACAGCCGAGAGATGGAAATAAAATCAGACGTCTCAATTTGACCTCTACATTTTGAAGTGTTTCTTAGTCTTCCTAACGTTTAAAAACACCAGCAGGACTTGGGAAATGAATGCTGCCACAGTGAAGGTGTTCATCTTCTACTTACACTAATACCGTCAAGGAGGAGCCCAAACCAACTAGTTGAATGACTTCTTGCAGCCAGATGAGAGACACAACTCATCCACATTTACTTGGGGGCCAAATACTCTCCAGTTTTAAGAAGCAGAGAGGGAAGTCTGCACATTCAGCAATACCTGCCTGGCAAAACTTACTTCCTGCCTCTGAAGTCGAGGATAATACATAAAGCTCACAGCCCAGGGCTGCCCACTCTAGTGTTCTGACAGCATCTTGGGAACAGCCCCATGGGTGATGCCATGCTTTAGAGAAAGCGAACAAATGATTCTCATATTAAATTCAGTTAGGACAGCTTTTAGAGGGACCCCTCAGATTTTCAGTTCTGAAATCGGTCTTTGTTTCTGACCGGAATGAGGGATCTGGAGGGTGACTTTGCTGTTTTCTCTGTAAATGGCACCCCCTGGAACCGGTGGAGTTTCATCCTTCATTAACTACTTGGTGAGCACCTACTATGTGCCAAACACTAAGGGAATACGGAGGTGAAGGGGAATCTTGTCCCTAAGGAGCTTGCAGTCTAGAGGCAGAGACAGACACTTAATCAAAAAGCTGTAAAACAAGGTGGAAATACGGCAAAAGAAACATGAACAGGATGTCAGTGCAATGACAGGTATCCAGCCCAACCTGGAACTGATGCATGTGTGCCTATCAGGGCTGGGAGAGGTTTTCTGAAGCATCTGATGTATCCAGAAAACTGCAGGCAAGCCTGGCTCTCCTGTTCACGTTGACCTCGTGGTGAGGAACCACGTAGGTGCAAATACTTGGATGAGTTTCACGTTTTTCTTTTTTAAAGCCTTGTCTCACACCCTTATTCGTAAGATATACCCTTGAGAAACATAGGTTTAGACAAAACTTTGCAATTTTAGATATAAAATTTATAGGAAACGGATGGACAGGGACGCATTCCAAGAAATTTTGAAATGAAAAAGGCCTCGCTGCCACAGCAGAGTTGGCACGCCCTGCCCCCTCCCCAGTCTCACCATCGCCACGTAGACGTTGCCCAGCGTGAAGTGGTTCACCGCAAAGTGTGGCGCAATCTCTACCGCCATGGTGGCCACGATGACGGCGTCGTCCCAGAGCTTGGCGTTGTGCAAGATGTTGGCCAGGCTGATCAAGGGCACGTCCTGGGGGAAGGAGGAGGAGGGCAGGAGGGGAATGTCGGGTTTGAGCTTTCCTTCTAGGTTTTGGTGACCAGAATGTCTTCTGGGACATTATAGAGTAAGGGCAACTCACAGCGCTTGGCCACTGCCTGCTACTGGTCTGGGACAGACAAGGGGCTCATACCGGAATCTAAATCAGTCACTTCTTCCATCGACAAAAGTCTTGCCTCAAAAACCAAAATCAAAAATGTCAGCCGAAGTAAACAATCTGCTGAGTGATGCAGCTGGTTTATTCTGGCATGGGCTCTTTGTCTCATTGCAGACTGGCAATACAAAGCCCGTGTCCTGTCCACAGACCACACTTTGAGTTGTGCTGTCATACAGCCACGTATTTTCTGCAAGAGCCACTGTATCATCTAGAGCAGGGACCAGCACACTTCAGCTCATAGGACACATCCAGCCTGCCGCCTTGCTGTTGGGTTTTATTGGCGCACAACCATTCCCAATCCTTCACACACTTCTGTGGCTGCTTTCACACCACAGTGGTAGAATCGGAGTTGGAACAGAGGCCGTCTGGCTTGCAGAGCCTGCAGGTTTTACTCCCTTGCCCTTTCTAGAAAATTGGCTCTCTCCTGGAGGTGAAGTCCTGGCCCTTCCCTAATGTCTAACAGTGAAGAGTGTAGAATGATGAACTGAACAAGAACATTATTATTATCACAAATATTTATTCCCCTTAAATGTGTTACCTGAGCAACTGCTGTCTACATCACACTGTACTGATTTTACAGGAGACAATGAAGAAACAGAAAAAAGGACCCATCTCTGTCCTTATGGAACATCCAGAGTGCATGTCCTTAGATGAGCTCATCAAAGTGCAATAACTTGTCTAAGTTCACAAAGCTAGTAGGAGGCAGAGCTGTGCCCAGCAGTAAAGCCTGTGTTCCTTCTGTTCCATCACATACCGCCTGGATGAACAGAGAGGACATGGCCACGTCTTCAGGCAGTACGAGATCTGGATTGGTGCAGAACTCAGCTCATGTGGATATAAGTGTGCTATTAAAAAAAAAACATTCTCAGCCATCATAGTAGTAACTGGTTTTCTGGAAAAGACCGATGGTATTCAGGGTTAGCTGGTCTTTTGCACTGTTTTGTTTTTTGTGGAAAAAGGGGAAGTAAGAATTGGCCAATGATATAAAGGAATGGAAGTTTGCTTCTATCTCTGTGCCTGGAAGCAAGCTCAAGTTAAGAATATAAGCGAAACAAGGCCGGGCGTTGGGGTTCACGCCTATAATCCCAGCGCTTTGGGAGACGGAGGTGAGAGGACTGCCTGAACCCAGGGGTTTGACACCAGCCAGGGCAACACAGCAAGACCTCATCTCTACAAAAAATTTTAAAAAGTTAGCCAAGCATGGTAGTGTGCGTCTGTAGTCCCAGCTACTTGGGAGGCTGAGGTGGAAGGAAGATCTGAATCCAGGAGGCTGAGGCTATGATGAGCTATAAGCGTGCCACTGTTCTCCAGCCTGGGTGACAGAATGAAACTGCAGCTCAAAAAAAAAAAAAAATTAAAAAAGCATACAAGCTAGTATAAGCGAAACCAGTCTAATCGGCCTCCGGGCCTCTGGGAACAAGCTAAAACCGGGGTGCCTTCCAGGGGCACTCAAGTCAGGGCATTTGCTGTCTGTGGGTGGCTCTGAACACAGCAGAAGGGGCACTGGAGGAAACAGAGCCTTCAGTGACCCATGACCTTCCCCACTGTCCAACCTGCTGCCGCACAAGCCGGGCAGGGGGTCTCCTGCTGTGTCTTGTCCCTGCACACGTCCTCACTGGCTGAGCAAGAGGGAGGCTGGCTGAAATGTCAGAATAAGCCCCAGGGAGTGGCCAGGGCCCGGGGCCAGGGGCCACATCTCGGAGTCCACTCACCTTCATCTGGTGGGGAGCGTAGTGCAGAGCCTGGCGCAGGCAGTCGATGGCCTTCTTCCCTTGGCCTTTCACTCTCCAGTAGAGGGCAGCCATGCTGGAGAGGACCCAGGATGTCTGGTTCTGCAAAGGAACGCTCAGCTGAGGCCGGTGTCTTGTCAGTGATGTACTAGCTTATCACCAAAAGCAACGTCAGGAACACGAGTCACAGCCATTCAGCTGAGGATTACGAGATGCCAGCACTCAGCCAAGCACATTCATCCTCTCACTCAGCAATCCTGAGAACAATCCTGTGAGTCTGATAATACAGTACAGCCTTTCTATAATGAGAAAATTATGATTCAAAGAGGTTAAGTACCTTGCCCAAGTCTATTCAACTGCTAAACAGCAGAACTGTATCCCGTGTCTACATTCTATTTTATTTAGATTTATTTAACTTTTTCAGCAGGTAACTCACCCACGTGTTTCAAAAACCAGGAAGTGTACAAAATTATACAGTGAAAAGTCTCCCTCCCATCCTTGTCTCGACTGCATATAAATAAATACTATTTTTAGTTTCTTATGCATCCTTCTAGAATGTATTTTTGCTTTACATAATCACGTATAAATACTGAATGACACTCCTACTTTTTTGTCATAGGAAGCACTCTATTATTTATATGAGAGGTATCACTCACCTGCACTTTGTTTTTCCACTAAACAATATACCTTGGAGATCTTTCTCCAACAGCGTATGGGAAGCTTCCTTATTCTTTTGTTAACAGCTATGTAGCATTTCCTTGCACGGATGTATCATTATTTATTTAAGTAGATCTTAATTATCTTTATTAATAAATACTCTTCTCTCCCCAAGTTTTTCACGATTACGAACAATGCGGCAAAAACGGCCTTGCATAGGTGTACTTTTGCATTTGTACAAGTGCACTTGCAACATTTTCAGATGTGGCCATGCTATGGCAAGGGACAGACACTTGTCATTTTGACAGATATTGTCACGTCACCCTCCACAGGAGTGTAGCAAATTCATCTCCTACCAGAAACATGTAAGTGTCTCCATCTCCTTATAGCCTCATCACAGAGTCTGTTATTAAACTCCTAGGACTTTGTCAATCTGGAAGGGAAAAAATGTGGTTTTAATCTGTATTTCCCTTCTTGTAAGTGGAGCTGGCCATCCGTCCACACTTAATGGCTTTTCGTATCTTTTCTGTGAACTATCTGTTCTTACATGTTGTTGATTTTTCTATGACATCTTTACCTTGTCTACTGGAAAAAGCTCCTTGTATTTTAGGGAAATCACTCCCTGCCTGTGGTATGATTTATGAATATGTTCCCCCAGTTTGAAGTCTGTCTTTTGACTTATAGGACTTTGTATGGGCAGGTTTTTATTTCTATGGAGTTATTTATTAATTTATCTCTGATGACTTCCGGATTTTCAGTTGTACTTAGGTAGGGCTTCCTCACTCCAAGATTATCAAAAGACTTTCACCCCAGAACTTTTATAATTTCATTTATCACACTTGAATCTTTGAGCCATTTGAAATTTAACCTAGTGTAAAATAAAAGATCTGGCCCTGGATTAATTTTTTTCCAGATGGCTACTAAGATGTCCCAATATTTAATACATCTCCCCCCGTCCCGTGAGGGGCTACCTTTACCATGTATAAGATTTCAGTACTTAATTTAGGTTGAATTTTGGATTTAGGACTACTTTTGTATTTTACTATTTCATTTGCCACTTTTGAGTGATGGTTTTTGACTCCCAGTTATCACAAAAAAGGCCATCCAAAAACTTAACTGCCTCCCATCTTGTTTCTTTCTTCCAATCTTAATTTTTGGTAGTTTAATAATTCTACACTGTCAGGGCAAATGGTATTTACATTTTTACTTGCCACCCTATGCCTACCTTTGTTTTTGTACTGGTTTTTACAGATCATGTCTCCACCAATCCCTGAAATTACTTCGGGTGGTTTCCTCCTTTGTCTCCTGGTTGGCTAAAGTTCGCCTTCTCCTAGTTTGCTCAACAAGGGTTCACGGGAACAATATTCTTTGAGATCACTGTTATGGGTTGAATTGTGCTCTTCCAAAATTCAAATTTTTCAAGTTCCAATCCCCAGTAGCTCAGAATTTGACTGTATTTTGAAGTCTTTAGAGATGCGATTAAGTTAAAACAGGACCTAACCCGAAATGACTGGATTTATATAAAGAACTTATAAGAAGAAGAGACATTTGAGGGTTCTGTGTACACAGAGAGACAACCACGTGAAGCGAGAGGGCGGCCGTCTGCAAACAAAAAAGTGAGGCCTCAGAGAGAACCCTGCCAGCGCTCTGACATCGGACTTCTAGCCTTCACAACTGTGATAAGATGCACTACTATTGTTTAAGTCACCCAGCCTGTGGTATTTTGCTCTAGTGGCTCGTTCAAAACTTCCTTTCTTCAGCCTTCATACCTGAAAGGACAGTTTGGTTGGATATAAAACTGCAGGTTATTCTTTTCTCAAACAGTGTCAGCATTTCTCTGTTGCCTCTTGGCATGGAAGGCTGCTGCAGAGAAACCTGTAGCTACCCTGATTTGTTCTTCCTTCTTAGTGACTTGCTCCTTTTGACGCATCCCCCAACGGATTCTTTAAAAAAAAATTATCAAAAAGATGATCTTTATTTAATGCCAATATTTGACACGCAAAAGAACATATTTGTATAGTACTTGAAACTTTGCATCAACCTATGTGTTCTCTCTCTATTCCGTCCCAGAGGACACTATTTGGAACGCTGCCTTTATTATTCCATTGTTCCTTTTAAACATAGATCTATCACTCACATACTTGTATATCTGCTTCAACAATATGTTAGTCTACCTCTTTCTGTGCTTTCTAAAAATGGTGTAGTAATCCCCCTGTCTGAAGCGGGTATGTTTCAAGATACCCAATGGATGTCAGAAACCGTGGAGAGTCTCTGATCCTATACAGGAAAGGGACCCCAAAAACTCCAGAATTATCTCTCGGAGGGTGGGCCTCTTGTAGTACAGGCTTCCCCCACTAGTAAAGTGTTCTAGGAACCCATCAGCCTCAGTGTACCAGCTAGTGTTGTTGTGAGATGCTATGCTTGGCTTCAGTGAGTATTGTTTTTTTGGAAATTCTTTCAATGTGTTTGTCCATTTCATCGTGGGTGATTTACTAGTGCACCTGTCCAAACCTTGCTGAGTGTTGAGCAGTTTTTCGCCAAAAACAACATGACGCCTGTGCCCTACCCTCCCTATTCATCTAATCTCGTCTGGAGTGACTTTTTTGTTTTCCTGCATGAAAAAAGTCCTCAAAGGGAAATGTTTTGCCAGTGTGGAAGAGGTGAAACAAAAATGGCAGAAGCATTAAAAGGCATAAAAGCCGATGAGTTCGAAAATTGTTTTGAGCAGTAAAAAAGTGGTAAGTTTTTGGATAGATATATTATTGCATCAAACGAAGAGTATTTTGAAGGTGACTGAAGTTTCAATATGTAAGAGTACACATTTTAAAATTAATTCGGGGTTTTTTTGGATTCCCCCTCATATCCTCCCTCATATACTGCATTTTTTCAACCTAATAATGAAGAGGACTACGAGTGACTAACATACACAGTGTGGATACATTACACAAAGGGGGCGGCGATTCAGTACCAGGGAGGGCAAAGCGGATGGCATGGGATTTCATAACACTACTCAGAATGGCAGCAACTTAAAACTTATACATTGTTTATTTCCACTTACTATCTTTTGACACTGGTTGACCTGGGGTAACCAAAATCAAGGAATGTGAACTAGCAGATAAGGGTGGGGAGGGACTGTGGTATCCTGCATACAGTCTTCTGAGAGTTGGGGTTTAAAATTAACACTGTATAATTCATCCATATTGTTGTGTGTAGCTTTAGTTCATTCAGTTTCCTTGCCGTACGATTAAATGTCCATTAAATGAAAATACTAAATGTATTTATCCATTTTCTGGAGAGGGGTGCTTGATTGTTTCCTGTTTTTATATCTCTTGTTGCACATAAATGTGTGGAGTTTCTCTACTGGAGTAGATACCCAGGAGTAGAATTGCGAGGTCGTGGGATACACAAAAGTTAAAAAACACAGGGGAATGCCACATTGTTTCCCAAAGGTGCTGTGTCAATTTACAATCCTAAAAGTGTCCCTTGATCCATATTCTTTCTAACCTTTGGTCTTATTAGTGAGGGTAAAATGGCATCTTACTGTGGTCTTATTTTGCCTTTCCTGATTTTTAGTGAGATTGAGAACTTTTTTCCCCCAACTTAAAAAAATTTATTTATTTTAGACTGTGAGGCACCGGAGAGGACTTGCTACAGAAGAAAGTTGTGTGAAAGTGAGTTCTGGGCTTCTGGAGCGTTCTCTCCCCCTCTGGTAGTGCACCTGGTACCCAGGGGGTGGCTGTGCCTTTTATCACTCCTTCCTTTGGCAGCGTCCAGCGTCTGTTGTTCCCTCCTTTGTGCTTGCATGCCCATTGTTTAGGGCTCACTTATGAGTAAGAACGTGTGGTATTCAGTTTCTTGCTTCTGTGTCAGTTCACTTCGGATGATGGTCTCCAGTGGCACTGCTGCAAAGGACACGACTTTGTTCTTCTTTATGACTGCATTGCATTCCACCATATATGTACCACATTTGCTTTATCTAGTTCACTTGTAATGGGCATCTGGATTGGTTCCATGTTTCTGCTATTGGGAACAGTGCTGAAACAAACATGTGTGCAGTTGTCTTTTTGGCAGAGTGACTTATGCTCCCCTGGGAATATTCCCAGAAGTGGGATTGATGGGTCATATGGTAGCTCAATTTGCAGTTCTTTGAGAAAATGCCACACGGTTCTCCAGAAAGGCTGAACTACCTTACATTCCCAACAGCAGTGCAAAAGTGTTCCCTTTTTTCCACAGCCTGACCAACACCTGTTGTTTTTTTGACTTTTTTTTCCATTGGAGTCTCATTCCCTTGCCCAAGCTGGAGTGCAGTGGCATGCTCACGGACACCCCGATGTCAACAGGCTGGACTAAGGCGATCCTTCCACCTCAGCCTTCTGAGTAGCTGGAACTACAGGCATGCGCTACCATACCTGGTTAATTTTTTGATTTATCGTAGAGATGAGGTC